ATATATTTTTTCCCCTCTGTGCTACTTACTTGGCTTAATTACAAAATTTTTGTTTATGACATTTATAGTCCTATATACCCTCTCTCTATATTTTTCATGTCCATATATATTAATATATTGGTTGTAGTGATGGTTTGATCCTTGTCTTGGTCTTGACTCTAGAGGGAGTGCTCCTAATATTTCACCAGTGAATATATTGTTTGCTGTAGATTTCTAGTATATAGCCTTTGTCAGGTTAGAAGCTTCCTTCTATAGTGTTGTTAACATGAATGGTTTTAAAATTTTATCTAATGGTTTTCCCACAGCTATTGAATGATCACATAATTTTTCTTTCTGGAGAATGTGGTAAATTATAATTGACTAATACTCAAATATTGAACTAACTAACTTTCCTAGAATAAATCCAATTTGGTCATGATGCATTCTTTTAAACCCTCTGGATATGAGTTGCTGGGATTTTGTTTGGGGTTTTCACCTCCATTGCATGAATGAAGTCAGACTTTATTCTCTTGTCTTGTATGTTATTGACAGGTTTGGGTAGGTATATGAATCTTACGGAATGAATATTCCATTTCATGGACTTTTTCAAAAATTTAACTGGTTCTGTTTTGATGGATATTTACATTGTTTCTAGGGTATTACTGTTATAAACAATGCTGTATTATAAATCTTGGCACACTTTTATTATGGACAAATGTCTACTTATAGGCTCAATGTGCAGAAGTGGAATTGCTTGGTCGAAGGGTATCTAGAATTTTTTATTGAACTTTGGAGAGGTTGCCAGGTTATTGTCTTAGCAGCAGTGTGTATGTCTGTTTCTTTACGTGCATCATTGAGGGTTTAGATAAGCACTTTAAGCAAAAGGGGAAAACATTTATATTGCTCTCCTGCCACACGCCACACGTCTTCTGCTTTATAGCCAAACTTGCTCTTGAAATACTGCTACATTCAGCTCACCCCCCCCACATTCATCAACTAGTCTAGCAACAACCCCTGCAAATCTACTGAAACTGTCCTTACCAAGGCCATTAACAATCCTCTTGTTGGTTAAGTCCAGTGACCTTGTCTCCTCCAAATGGTTCTTTCCAGTCTTACTTGGCTCTCCAGCAGTATTTGACCAATTAGCCATGTCATCATTCTTAAGACACCTCCCATGGAATTGTGTGATGCTTTGCTCTCCAGATCTTTTCTTACCTCTGTGACTCTTAATTTTCATTCTCCATTGTGGCTCCAGTCCCTCTGCCTGCTCCTCAGATGTTAGTGTTCCTCACATTTCTGTTCTTATCCTTCTTGTTACTCTGTATATTCAGGTGATCTCACCTACAGTTAGGACATCACCCTCTAATTGCCATCTATATGTTAAAAACTCAGCTTAGTTCTTGCTACTGAGCTTTAGACCTGCATAGCCACTGACATACTGACTATTTCTTGAGTGCTCTACTCAATAGTAACCTCCTAAAAACTAAGCTCATAATGTTCTCTCTCAACCCTGTTTCTACTGTGTTGCTTGGTACCACTGTTTATCTTAATCAGAAGTGTTTGTGTTTGTGTGGCTATTCTTGTCTTGTCCTTCTCTTTGCGTATCCAGTCAGTTGTTAGATTCTTTCAGCTTTCTTATTCTGAATCTCTTTTTCCTAGGAAAGACAATACTGTTTTCCTAAAAAAGAAATAATATTTTTCCTAAATCATGTTAGATCATGCCACTCCTTGGCATCTAGCCCAGTATTTCAGGCACTCAATAAATATTTGCTAACTATAAAAGAGTGAATGCATTAATGTTTTTTCCCTTTTATCTTTTTTTTGGGGGGCCTTATAAATTAATCAGATTTTAAAGTAAAAACTTATATAATGTTTCTTAGTTCTCTTATTAGTTTGTCTTTATAATAATGTGAGTTTTTACCAATACTTCATTATTAGAGTGGTATCTGCCTCATTGTTTAAACACAGGTTTTTGGCTGGGCATAGTGGCTCATGCCTATAATCCAGGCACTTTGGGAGGCCATGGTGGGAGGATCTCTTGAGGCCAGGAGTTTGAGACCAGCCTGAATAACATAGAGAGACCTTGTCTCTACGAAAAAATAAAAATAAAAATCAGCTGGGCGTGGTGCGCCTGTAGTCCTAGCTACTTGGGAGGGTAAATCAAGAGGATCATAAGTTTGAGCCCACAAGTTTGAGGTTACAGTTTGCTATGATCAGGGACACTGAACTCCAGCCTGGGCAGCAGAGTGAGACCCTGTCTCTAAAAAAGTTTAAAAAAAGAAAAAGAAAGGGGAAAAAAAAGATTTTAAAGATAGGTTTTTATTTGAAAAATAGGGACTTGTTAGAAATTTATGATCTAGTAGCATGGGCTTTTAAGTCTGACTAGGATTTTACTCTAAGTTCAGCAACTTAATATTTTCTTTAACCTTGAGTTACTTAAAACTTGGAGTTTTATCATCTGAAAAGTGGATGGATATAATATATACATTGTGGTATTGTTGAGGATTAAACAGATAATGTGTGTGAAAGTGTTTGGTATATAATAGTAATTCAGTAAATTTAGAAATTATGATATAGTGCTATATTATAGCACTGCTTACAACAATTCTAACTTTAAATTTTTTGTCTTACAGATAGTGTGTGTACCATATCACTGGCGTGTAACTATGCTCATCATTGTTCTTGTCAATGCCTTTGTATCTATCATGGTGGAGGTAAGCACTTCAGATAATCAAATGGCTGGCTACTTTGTTGCTTTGGGATTCTTAGATAATGTAATGGTAAATGGGGGAAGAGGACAGGTGACATTATAGAAAACCAACTCAGTTTCATTTTAGGCAGAATTATTTAGCCTTCTCTTCTGACCTTTTCCATGAACTGATAGTAGACATATTAAGGGATATGACTTAGTTGCACTCATGCAGGTAGGGAAAAATAAGCAGTGAGATATAGCAAATATTAGTGATGGGTAGTGATGGGCAGCCCATGAACTGATGAACTAGTAGCCATGAAATCAGAGTGGGTATCTCCCATCTGTGTTCTGTGATGTATGGTAAACTCTCCCATTTAAGGAGGAAGGAAAGGGTGAGAAGGCTTTCTCCAGGAAATATAGTGAATATTGGTAGTAGGAGAGTTTATTGAAAGCATAAAATAATGACCACTATGTACTTAACTAATTTCAACATTGATGACTGGAACTTCCTCCTTGGTATTTACTTTTGAGTGACCTCTAGAAGTCTTAAGTACTCTTTTTATTCATTATATATTGTTACCCTCCCATTAGGATTGCCTTTAGGTCAGCTTCTCGAAAAGGAGCTAGCAAGTTCTCCTTTGCTACTTATTAACAAACTTATGTCTGCCCTCAGAACTGTAATCATAATTCACTCCTACCAGTAGCGATGTAAGAAATGGAAGAGGGAGATATTCATAGCATAGGCTTTCACATTAAAATTAAGGTAATTTATCCAGAAATACGTATGCTTTAGTAATAACAGCAGACTTAGAAATTATGCTTATTTTCAATTATCTCCTAAAAAATGACTTGGTACTGAAATTTGGGATATTACGGACAGCATGGATATTGTGGTACTGACCTTTTTATGGTGTCCAGTGGAATGTATTTTTTCTATCTTATGGATTCTGGAAAGCACGTCTAAGATACTATATTCTAAAAATGTTCCTTTTTCTACAGTATAAGTTCATCATTTCAGTTAAATGCTATTTATTAATCTTACTATCTAAAGAATTATTTGTGTTGGATGCTGATGAAATCATACATATCTATAGCTACAGATAAATAGATATAGAATTAATATTAGATATTAATTCAATGAGAACAACTCATTGTTAAGAAAAAGACTTCAAATTACATAAGAATTGTTTTAATAATGGGAAAGACCCAAGGGTTCATATAAAAGCCATATTTTGTAGAAAATTTAGAAGTCCCATTTTATCAAGAATTTTATGATGATTTATATTTATTACAAAAGTCCTGTTACTCTTTATTCTTTTGTAGTATTAACTGAAATTATATGAAAACAAAATCATGTTTTTCACTAATGGTGCAGCATTGTATGAGTCTTTTAAAATGTGCACATTAATAAAGAATTACTTAGTAATTATTAATTCTTAACTCACTGGAATATCTCTCAGAACTTCTTCCTTGACATGGTCCTTTGGAAGGTTGTGTTCAATCGAGACAAACAAGGAGAATATCGCTTCGGCACCACACAGCCACCACAGGTTGGAAAACAGCACTTACTGTCAATTCTTCATGTGTATTGAGGCTCTTTTAGTTGTGTACTCAGCATTCTGTAGGCGGTTCTGTTGTGTGTTGCTTCAACCTTTTTGCTTACGTCTGGCATTTCATTTCTTGTAAGGAGTCCTAGAAAATTTATGGCAAACATTTGTTATAGGCTTTTCAGGACCAGAAATTTCGTAAGTCTCTTTTCCATTCCAGTCCCATTCTTCTATGTGTGTAAAGGTCTTGTCCTTAAAGGTGAGAGTCAGTTTTTCCATTTCTGTCTGTCTCCTTTAAATTTTATGTTTTTGATTTTCATGGGTACCTTAGAAGCTAAATGAAATTCATGCAAACAAGTTTTGAAATGAAAATTGTTTCTTCTTGGACCTGAGTCCAAGGCCAAAATTTTTTAAAATTTTCTTTTCACCATCTCATTTATTCCTAACCAATGCCAGTATTTCAAAGAATTATTTCTGACTTCTTGTCAGTTACTATGCCTTAATTTGGGATGGCTTTTTGGCTTTCCCCAGTGTATGTCTCTCATCATGCAGAAAATGATGGGCTCATTTTTAGACAAACTGTAGTTTAGGATGTTTGACTTTTTGGGCCTGTTAAGTAGCCAATTATTTGAAAAGTGTTACAAGCCGCGTGGTAAAAAGAGAAGAGAAACAGATAAATAAAACCCATTTCCTAGTGTTAGGATGTTAAAGTATACCTCTTGATACAGATACAGGTTAGACTTACTTTAAACCAATACTGTTGTTGCATCAAAGCTCTGTGAGCCAGCCTTTTGGGCATAGAGAACTTGACAGTATAAAATCTCACCCCTTCCTTGCCTTATAATTGCTTTTCGTAGGTATGATGTGCTTTACAAATGGGAGTTCCGAGTCTTTCATTCATCCTCGAGCCATAAGACCCTTACAGAGTTCAAGAGGATTCCCTGGCATTTCTGAGTTGGGTCACTCACTTATTTTTAGCCACCTTTTACCTAAGTGGCAACTTTCTGAGCTTTGTTTTGGTAATTCAGCAGGCTTGATGCCCTGGTGCAATGCCACAGTATTGCTTTATAAGAGGACTTGTAGAGTGCCATTTCTGTTATCTAATGCTTTATGACGAATAATGATGGTTTTTTAATGATGGAATGAGTCTGGAATCAGCCTTAGTTTTTTTTCTTAAAGCAATGTAATACTCAGTTGTTCCTGGTAGTCAGCATGACCAGAGTTGTCTGAGGGGCTCAAGTCCAATTCCAAAATATTATCCGTGACTGTATTTTTTTTCCCTTTTGGTAACACCACTACATTATTACTTCAAAGGGTTAGTTCAGGCTCATATCATCAGTCCTCATGTGAAATATTTGTATTACATTCCCCAAACTAGGGAAACATTTAAATAGAGTTTTTATTTCCTCCTAAGAGATCTCTGACTATTGATCTAAACAGGAAATGCATGTTTGGAAGAGGAGTTATACCCCAGTTTAGTCAAAAGTAGGTATCATAAGGCTCCTTTAAAATATTTGAATTGGAAGTCCCCCCTCATCTTTCACCCAGAATTAAATGGCAGAAAATTCTATTATTTGCTAAGCCTCTTTCCTAAAAATTTATTAATAAGTATCTGCCCTTGTTATTTTTTAAGAGTTGGTGTCTGTCATGTGAAGTTCTGCCTCTCACGTGTTGAGGGGAGCCAGTGAAGGTAGAGAGTTCCCAGAGCAGGTAGACGCCAGCATGCCCCGTGTGTTGGCTAAGTCTGAAAATCATTGAGTAGACAAGAATTTTGGTCTTCCATTTCTATGGTCATGATTAAGAAAGCATTTTTAAATTATTGGCTTTAGGAAAGAGAGTTCTTAAACGTCTTAGTACAAAATGATACACTTTCATCCTCTGACACTTCTGCATGTAATGTGGTTTCACTATTCACATTTGTGGCCCTTCAAGATCTTTTTTTTTTTTTCGAGACACAGTCTCACTCTGTTGCCTGGGCTAGAGTGCCATGGCGCCAGCCTAGCTCACAGCAACCTCAAACTCCTGGGCTCATGCAATCTACTACCTCAGTCTCACGAGTAGCTGGGACTACAGGCACGCGCCACCATGCCCAGCTAATTTTTTCTCTACATATTTTTAGTTGTCCAGTTAATTTCTTTCTATTTTTAGTAGAGACGGGGTCTCACTCTTGCTCAGGCTGGTCTCCAACTCCTGAGCTCAAACGATCCACCCGCCTTGGCCTCCCAGACTGCTAGGATTACAGGTGTGAGCCACCGTGTCCAGCCCCCTTCAAAATCTAATCAGTCATATTATATTACTATAAGGCTGTGGTTCTCAATCAGGGGACATTTTCTCCCCCAGGGGACATTTGGCAGTGTCTGGAGACATTTTTGGTTGTACACTTGAGGGAAAGGGATTGCTACTGGCATTGGCATACAGTGGGGTAGAGGCCAGGGATACCGTTAAATAAACATCTTGTAGTATACAGGATAACCTCTCACAACAGAGAATAGTCTATCTAGCCCAAGATGTCATTAATGCTGAGGTTGGAAAATCCTACCATACCGTGAAAAGAAAGTAAAGGTGACAGTGACTTGCTACTCTTAGGACTTCTGTGGCTGCTGTAATTCTCCCCACCCCAGGCCCCTGTTGACTTCTGCCCCTCCTGTGCTCTTCTTTTACCAAGAAGCCCATGAGGCCTTCTCAGACAGCAACTCTCAGCCTTTTACATTATTGTCGGGGAAGAGAAGTCCCGTTCCATCTTTTCCTTCCTTACCATGTAGATGGGAGTTGGGTTGAAAGCTTCAAAGCTTCAGGCCCTACACAGTTGAATTAGGAAGTCACTTTATCTGGAAATCTGTAGTAACTATATCCAAAATATCTACAAGGCAGTATATAACACCTCCAAGATCCTCCCAATCTTAACACATTTCTAACTCCATTTTATACATAAACACCGTTCAGTTGATTTGCCAAGGTTATGCATTTAATGCATGGCAGAGTTGGAAGTTGGAACCAGTGTTTCTGATTTTAAGAGAAATTTTTTTTATCAGTTTGCCACACTGTCTCACATATATCATTTGTGGGACCATGAAGATGTAAACTAATACAATGATCAAATGACAAAATGGAGACATCTACTGTTATCAGTATCTATTATATTAGGCTATTAAGTATGAAATGTTCGATTCTCTCAAGTACTAAGTTCAACAATTGATATCTCTGACATTTCACTTCGATGCTTTTAAAATTTTTATTGTGAAGGTACATCTTCATTCTTTCAAACACACAATTTGGCTTGTGATTTATCTTTCAAATTTTTTTTAGAGCAATTTTTGTGAAAACGTGGATAAGTCAAAAATCCGTGTTATTTTTGGATAGGAGTTCTGTCCTGGAATCAATGCTGCGCAGACAGCTTGAAATATCAAGAAAGTATTTTGGGAAGGATGTGGCTAATGAACACACAGTATGTCGATGGTTTGAGAAGTTCCATTCTGGTGGTTTTAATCTTGAAAATGAACCATGTGGGCAACTTGAGATCAAGGTGGATAATGATGAGCTGAAAGCTATAGTGGAAGCAAATCCATCTCAATCTACACGTGAATTAGCAGCAGGGTTTGACATTACTATTCCAACAATATCGGACCATTTGAAACAAATCAGCAAGGTGAGGAAGCTGGATAGGTGGGTTCTGCATGAATTAAACAAGTGTGAGAAGAGTAATCGTCTCAAAGCTTGCCTTTCTTTGCTGTCACTACATAAAGGTGAATCATTTCTATACCGCATTGTTATGTGTGATGAAAAATGGATTATTTTTGACAATCGCAAGCATTCGGCACAATGGTTGGGTAAAGATGAAGTGCTGAAACACATTCTAAAACCAAATATTCATCAAAAAAAGCTAGTGGTGTCTGTTTGATGGTCCAGTGCCGGTATTATCCACTACAGCTTCATGAAACCTGGTCAGTTGATCACAGCGGATGTCTACTGCAACCACTTGGACGAAATATGAGGATGCTTGTGATTAAGCAGCCGAGATTGGTCAATAGAGACAGGCCAATCCTCTTACAAGACAACACACTCAACCACATGTCACGCAGTGCTGCTCAAATTACAGAGGTTGGACTTGGAAACTTTCTGTCATCCACCATATTGACCAGATCATGTGCCAACTGACTACCGCTTCTTCTAGGCTTTGGACCACTTCTTGCAAGGAAAAATACTCAATTCTCAACAAGTTGTGGAAAACGCCTTTCGCGACTTTATTGCCACTCTCTTTCCAGGCTTCTTCGCTGCTGGCATAAACAAGCTACTGTCAAAGATGGCAAACTGTGTTGATAGTTTAGGCGCATACTTTGATTAATTATGCTGCTTCTTGTCTGAGATATAATAAACTAAACTTTTGATTTGAAATCAGACATTTCATATTTAATGACCTAATTTTTTTTTTTGTAGTAGGTACTTTGTATGCATTCTCTCTCGATCTAATGACAATCTTAAGAGACTTTATATCAGTGATTTTCAAGAGAGGATATTCATCAAAAGTGCCTTCCACTCCACCCTTCACCTGCTGAAAACCTGCAGTGGAGGTCCCCATCATCTGTGGTTTTCTATAAAGCTTTACTCCTGTTTGAAGAGATCTGTGCTATGTATTCTCCTTAGAAGCATTTCTGCTGCCAACCTTGTGTTTGGTGAACTGAGGGCACTTAAGAGTCAATGTGGAACTAGAATCATACTAGTGCGAGGTTTCATCCTGCCTGAGGATTTGTGCCAGACTTAGATTTTCTTTTTGGTGAAAAATGGAAGTAGTCCTTTTGCCACTTAGAATGTTATTTGAGGTTATTTAGATATTAATAGAATGCTAATACTGGTTGTTTGTTTTAGATTCAGGATTGGTATGGAAGACTTATGAAAACCGCAGTGCCATTATAACATTTTTATCCTTTAAGCATGGCTTATTTTATATGCTACCCATGAAAACATTTCCTAAAAATACTGCTAAGTGTAAACTGGCATTCGGGTTCAAGAATGAACAGCTTGAAGTGGTCTAAGAAGCAGGAGAATTTTAGCTATAGATCTCTTTGAAAGTTCTTTATGGTTTCTCTGCTGAACTATGATAGCCTCTTTCTTTGTCTGAGGGGATAAATTCCTTTCAGAAACAAACTGAAAGATCCAGTTGCTATAGCTAATGTGTTCTCCTGCTAAGGGATTTATGCCCCAGGTGTCTTGGGGAGACCCAAGTGCTCATTCTGAGCCCCCGTGCCCTGCCTCACCGCCTTCGTGCTGCATAGTGCCCGCCTTTCTTCCTTGCAACCATCCTCTCGCCTGATTTCGCATTCCAGCATGCCGGTGGCACCTCGTGTTTTTCCAGTGAATTACATTGTGTTTTTAGGGTGTGCGTGGCAGTTTGTGTTTATAAACTAATCAGCCCGTACTTGCATACAGTGTACTTTTTGTGTGTGATATTTGGCAATGGTGAGGGTAAGGAACAAAATGAGTTTCTAATGATGATGAAGCAGGGATATCCCTAGTGCTCCTCTTGACTTAATTTTTTTTGAAATTGTGACAAGTATACATTGTTTTTGATAAGGATGTGAGGTTTTTTTAAATGCACCCTTAATGTGAAAAGAATCCTCTTTAGTTGTGATACTGTTTACAATTAAATTAGTTTGAATTTTATTGCTTATCTTTCTGTATATGGGGAACAATGAATTTATATATCTATGTGTGTGCCTTAAATTTGAATGCACTTGGCTTTGACTTTCCTTGACTCTGCCTGCTATACATTGCCCTTCAACCTGGCAGATCATCTCGCTAGACAAAGTCTATTAATGTTGACTTTTAAAAAGTCGACAATCAACATCACCTTTATTCCGTGATCCTGCTACTTGCCATAAAATAAAAAGTAACAGCTTTCAGATTGATTTAGAAACAATAATCTTTTCCACAGTTAGATGGAAGAATTTAAACACCTTGGGAAAAAGCCCCAAGTAGTGAACCATCATCTCTGGTTAAACATTGTTTTGTGTGCCTGCTCTAGAAAGGGATTATTATGTGTTATTTTGGATCACTTAAAGAATCCTATACCATAGTGTCTTCTGTATCCTAATGCTAAATAGTTTCCTGCGGCATTCTTTTAAGGTGATTAGACCTAGTTGTAGCCTGGGTTATATGTTGGTTGGCAAAACAAAACAACCTGGGATTTAAATGTCACTTCAAGAAACAACAGCCAGAATAATTAAGTAGTTATATTCAGAGGTGAATATAACTACTACAGACATTGGTATAGTCATTACATTTTATTTCATTCATTTTCAAATTTCAGTTGAGACAAATTCTGAGGTTACCTTTTGGTCCTCTGTTGAATTTACATTTCTATCCATTAGCCAGGGACTCTTTTCTTGTTCTCCAGGGATTATTTATCTAAGGTCACATTCATTAAAAACATCAGGATTGATCCGAAGGATTTCAGTGACAGCAGAGCTTTTTATAATGGAATAATACTAAGAAGTTGTACTTGCTTTTGCACCTTTCTGTATACCTCTTTCCAGTTGTGGAACACCAAGGGAAACTATCATTATAAAGTATTAGTAAGGATGTGGTTTTAAAAGACATGATTGACTTTAAACATGTTTTAAGACCTAATTTTGACCTAACAATATTCACATCATGCTTTGAAACATTAACAGCAACAAGCATATTTTTATACCGCTTTCATCCCAAAATGATCAGGTGGCTAAGTTGCTCGTAGCAATAATACCAAAAGATAGTTTGGGATAGAATAGGAGGGTTTCCAAATTAAATAACAAAAATGTTTTCTCTTTCTGAATAAAGTTATTCTTAATACATCAGATATTTTGTGTTATAGAATCCAGATCTTCAAGTTATTTAAAAGTTTTAGTACACAAGAGAATAATAGGTACATAAAACTACACAAAATGAAGTAAATTCCATGAATAAACAAAAAATCTAAAAAAAAAATCAGTACCTAAATATTTGAAAGCTGCCTTTTTTTTAACTTGGATTTTTTTCCCATTTGTTTGTTGTGTTCAGAAGTCATTTTCTGTTATTTTTCTGTGCTAATGTATGCTTTCATAAACCTGTTAAAAACAAACTCTTAATTGTTCCTTTTTCTTTATTTTTTTAGGTGTCAGTGGATCGGTGGGGAAAATGCTGCTTGTCCTGGGCCCTGCGCTGCAGAAAGAAGATACCAAAGGCCAAGTACATGTATCTGGCACAGGAGCTCTTGGTCGATCCAGAATGGCCACCAAAACCTCAGACAACAACAGAAGCTAAAGCTTTAGTTAAGGAGAATGGATCATGCCAAATCATCACCATAACGTAGCATATAGCAATGAATCAGTCTCAGTGGCATGCTAATAGCAGTATTGAGGAGAATGTGGTTTTAGGATTTTCTGATACTGTGTGTCAGAATGGCACAGTTTCAGCTTCTGTCCCTTCTGATATAGTCGCTGAATTGAAAACTTGGTTTGTTTTTTTTTAAAAAAACAAAACAAAAAAAGGTATTAGCCTGACAGTTAAATTCACAGTCTGTAAAGTTCTATATCTTCATTCAGTAACCTGTTATATGCATTTCCAGAATCTCTTGATTGTTACCCTCTTTACATAGGGCACAGGAGAAATTTGGTGTTTGGTAGGTTTTTAGACATTAACTTCTGAGACTAGTTTATCCGTTTAAATTTATTTTCACAACCCCCTTATTAGAAAAGATCTGTGTTCATATATAGGCCCTAAATTTGTGGTTGGTAAAATTTGTCAGTTAGCCTCCAGTGAAACAGATTGAAAGCCTATTTTCATTTGATTCTAATACTTCTTCCAAAGAATTCTATGTAAACATACACCAGTTCCCTTCAATGGCCTAGAGTTAGGAGTGAGTTTGTATGGTGTTGCTTATAGAACAACTCAGGTAATTTCCATATATGGTTTTATGTTTTCTGTACAAACTGCCTGGGTTTTATTTTTCTAATCAGCAAGGTGCTTCACTGCCTTCTTGAGATATCGCTCAAACCTATTAAATGGATCTTGTGCTATGTGTGGTGTCAGTAGTCGAATTTGCTTCAATTTGCTGTTATAGAACCGTTCACTAGGAAAAGAGATTATTTCTTTTGGCAGTAGATGTCAGTCCATCTTTCTAATCTCTCTTCAAACCTGCTTTTTCCCCCTAAGGTTTGTGGTGTTTCAAATGTCTTTTTATTTTCTACTTCTACATTTTTAATTACCCAAAGACATAGAATAACAGTAAGGGTTTCTGTAATTAGAAATTTACCTCATAAGATTTTTTGAGGTTTGGTCTATGTCTCTCCTGTCGATAATGAGGCTTGAAAAAGACTGGATTTAAATGACTGCTGTTTTTCAAAACAATATGAACTTGGTAAGAGTTTGTTATATGCCATTAGGTGGCGCCAGAGGTCACAGCATATCTATTTTGGATTGGAGAGTGACAAATGAGTGTATTTGGTATGGAAATTTCTGGGAGAAAAAATGGAGGAAATAAAGCTGAAAAACAGACACTCATTAAGCCAAAAGAAATGTGGAAAATATTTTTCACCTTTCTGTTTTGCCTGAGTAATGTCAAATTCTAAACAAAATTAAAGTAACTTTTTAAATGCCTTTTTATAGGTAGGTTCCAGCAGTTGATACTGCTGTGACATGGACACTAAACTCTTAAAACAATGTGACATTATCCTGTGTACTTCCTTAACCAGTAGCGTGCTTGTTCTTTCTACTTCTAGCTGATCATTATTTTCCTAGTATATATTTACCAGTTTACCAAATTTTAACCAGAATTGTAGGACCAAATAAATGGTTCTCATTCTTTATGCTGCAAAGACCTGAATGATGATTGGTAACTGTAGAGAAATGTAAGTTACACTCAGGATCACTGTTATTACTATTGCCACTGATGATTCTTACAAAAATGTAATTGAAGTTTTCCACCAAAATGTATAATATACTAATACACATTAGATGATAAGAACAATTGTTCCATGAATGGTTCTATGAAGCTATGCATCTTAGACCTCTTGAGCTGTGAATTAGCACTGTTTTCTAGAGTTACTTATTCACTTGATAGTTTTATAATTTCCGTATTCATTTTAAATATGCTCAAGTGTTATTCTTTAGTGATTTCCAGAACCGTAAATTTTATTCTTTGGTTTAAATACTGAGGCATATAATTAAAGTAATTGCTAAGTAGCAGCTTAAAAATCCAATTATCAGATTGTATTTAACATCTTTAACAGCACGATCATAAAGAGCTATTTTTGACACCCCCCCTTTTTTAAAAGTTAGAGTTAATAAGGGTTTTATATCTCATCTGTCTATATTGTTTTCAAAAGAATGAGGTTTTTAGGTAGGCAGAAAAGCATTTGTAGGAAGATTTGAACATAGAAAGGTGGGTTATTCAGGTTGAGAATTTATTTGAAGAATGTGAATCCAGGTGTGGGTCCTACTCAGTGCCATAAGTAGACTGAATCCTCTGTGTAGGTCACCATTACATAGTAAGTTTGATTCTGAATTTCACATTAAATTATTTGAGTTTATACAGACCTAAATTTTAAAATCTGTACATATATTATTTTGATGTATTAAGATGAATAAATATTGCTGATTTAAATTTTATTTATGCACATACTTAAAGGACAGAAATGTCTGGGAAAGTAATTGTTAAATAATGATATGTAACTTTTTAACTTTTTAAATAAATAACAAGATTTTTAATGTGTGTCTCCCTCAGGGTTGTTTAAAGTTTTTTTTTCTCCCTCAAGTATAAATAGTGGTAACTATATGTTTTGTATCTTCGAGCACCAACTGCTGTAAAGCAATGCTGCAAATAATGCTTGAATAAAAGTGGCTAAGCCAACAAAAAAAATACTTTTTATAGTAGTTTTATAATCCTTAAATTCGAAAGCTTTCCAAATTGCACTTGCATTTAAACAAAACTGTTGCAGTTTTTACTCTATTTATTTTATTTCCCACGTTTATGAAATTACTGCACAGTTTCGAAGGCATGGTAAATAATATGTCAATGTTTATGTAGTCTGTTCCAAAAACAGCTATAGATAACATCCAGCAAAGAGGAAAATTCAAGCTTTAGAAAATATTCTAATATTTCATGCATGCAATTTTGGCATATCTAAAAATAGGTTTTTGTATATTTATGGTGGGAGGTGGTTGGGAACTTTTAACAAAATGTGTTAATTTTTGTACAGTCTGGGCATTTACACATATTTTTAATGTATTAAAATTTGGTAATTATGTGTACATTAAGTTAATAAAATAGTTACTTTCTGTTATGATTTGTGAATTCCCTAAGACCTTGGATTTTTTTAAGTAACTTTATATCAGAAATGATACTGCATCTTTATATTTTTAAAATTGAATTGCTGCTCAAGAATGGTACCCTGTTGTCAAAAAGGCATACATTCATAATTGTACATTCAGCATTGTAAATAACCTTATGAAATCTTTTTGATTGAAGCTATTCAAAATAAAAATGTAAATGAATGAATAACACTTCACTCTTCTATGTCTTTATACCTTTGTTTGCTTTTTAAAAGTAACATGAATACTGCCCTCTCTGGATTTACTTTCTTGCTTAATACTTCCCCACTTCCTTTTTTCTTTCTCTCTCTCTTCCTTTCTTTCTTCCCACCCTTCCTTCCTTCTCTCCCTCCCTCCCTCTCTTCCTTCCTTTTTCTTCCTTCCTTCCTTCCTTCCTTTCTTTCTTTCTCTCTCTCTGTCTCTTTCTTTCTTTCTTTCCTTCTCCTTCCTTTTCTTCTTTCCTTTCCTCTTCTTTAACTTTGGACTTTTAAAGGAAATAAGTACAACATTCCACATACCCTGTTTGTGACCATCCTAGGAAACCCATCAGTCAGATACAATGTAGAGCCAAATGTGGAATGTCGGGAGGTCTAAGGGAAATATCGAAATAAAAGATTAGCGACTTACACTCTATTAGTTGGGAGGGTCAAACCAAAAGGCTAATACCACGTAAGATGTGGTAAATTTGAAGTGAAGTGGCATCTGTTGGGCTTTTGTGTTTCCGTGGGAGTTTTCATGTATCCCAGGTTCTCCAGGAGACATGCAACCTCTGCTAGGGAGTATGTGGCTGGCTGTGGTGTGATGGGTTGGGTGAGTGAGGGCCTAGTTTGAGCCCAAGTTCTTTCCAGTCACTGGTTTGTGCAGCATATGATCATGTCTCCACAGCCTGCTGATGTGGGCATAGTTCTGCATGTTTCTCCTCCTTTCCCTACATCACTGCCAAGTGCTGTATTCTGAGTGTATATTGCAGGGAAGGACTGAGGGAGTCCTGGGAGCCCTAGGAACTTGAGTGAGGCTGTCCCTAGTCCAAGTTGGGGTTGTGGTTACTTGGTAAGTGCAGAGATCTCTGCTGTGCCCTGGCCTCTGAGTCTCCCCACAGAGGAAAAACATGTAGGCAGACACCTGCTCTTGAATGGCCAAACCAGGGCTCTGTGACTTTTATACAGCAGCTGCCACTTAGGACAACAGATTTCTGACCTATTTAATGGATACCCAAATCCAAAAGGCTGGAAATGCTGGAGCCATCAAACTTGACCGCTCCAAATACTTTTCATTACCTCATCAACTTGCTCGATAGTTGGGCTAAGAGTGTTCCCCACTGTCTGTGACTTCCATACCCACTCTTGCCTTCCTGGGCAATCAGAATGTCTTGCTCTCTTCAAACGACAGAACATGGCAGCCATTCTGACTGGAGGTCTTCCTGGGGAAACAGGCTGAAGAAGCGTCACCGGAATTTGACTCGAGCTTGTACTGTTTCACAGCTCGCCTTCCCAATCTGTCCTGTTGGCTCCCTGGCCTTTTCACCGGTAGGGGGCACTTACACTTGATGAGCCTATGCATGGCTCTGGAGTTGCTTCCCTTGGTGAGAACTGAAAGACCTCCCACCATCCCTGGCAGAGGCAGTGGCTCGTCCTTGTGGTTGACTTAGAATTTCAGTCAGTTCAGCATTTACTGGGCTCTGCGTTTGGCTACAATTACATCAAAGGCTGATTAGATTACACAGTGTAGGCATTCTTTATATATTCTGGATATTAATCCTTTGTCAGTTACAGGTGTTACAAATATATTCACTTGGTTTGTCCTTTCGCCTTTTTTTCTGGTGTCTTCTGATGGAGGTCTTTTTTTTTTTTTTTTTTTGAGACAGAGTCTCACTCTGTTGCCCTGGCTAGAGTGAGTGCCATGGCGTCAGCCTAGCTCACAGCAACCTCAAACTCTTGGGCTCAAGTGATCCTACTGCCCCAGCCTCCCAAGTAGCTGGGACTACAGGCATGCGCCACCATGCCCGGCTAATTTTTTCTATATATTTTTAGTTGGCAGATTAATTTCTTTCTAATTTTAGTAGAGGCGGGGTCTCGCTCTTGCTCAGGCTGGTCTCGAACTCCTGAGCTCAGACAATCCGCCCACCTCGGCCTCCCAGAGAGCTAGGATTACAGGCGTGAGCCACCGCGCCCGGCCTGATGGAGGTCTTTATCGTCAATATTATCAAAGAATGTCTACAATAACAGTTGTTAAAGATATGCATACATGTTTTGCATATAGAAAAATGGGCAAAAGGAAACCCAAATTTCTCAGAAGATGAAGCACAAGTGGCCTTTAATTGTATGAAAGGGTGCTCAAATTCATCATTAAACAGGGAAATGAAAAGTTAGAGCCATGCTAAGATAGTTATATGAATGGCAAAAATTAAATTTAGAGTCAGAACCAAGTGTGGGCAGAGACATGCGACAGGTGGCCCTGCCTATCAGTACAGCCGCTTCAGAAAGCAGGTTGACATTCCCAAGTTCAATTGAACATGTGAACACCCTTCAACCCAGCAATGCCATTATTGAACATGTTCAAGAATGTTTTTAGCCTTATTCCTAAAAAGAAAAAAAAAATGAGTGGAACATTTGATAATGTTTTTAGCCTTATTCCTGAATGGAGAAAGGAATGTTTAAAAAACCACCAAAAACTGAGTGGAGAATTGATTGGAACCATGTAGCATGAAAAGGAAGACCCAAATAAATGTGGCCCATTTAGTAGTGTGGCTACTGCGATGATCCGACCACATCACTAAACTTTTCTAGCATCACAGAGTCATATTGTGCCATTTTTGAAAAACTTCTTTCCCTCCTGCTCTTATCAGTCAGCCTCAAGAGTAGTACTGGGGTTATATATGGTGTCTTTTTCAGTTTGAAGATACTTGTCATTAAAAGCCAGAACATGCTCTCTGAGATAGGGTCCTTTCCCTGACGTATTCTGGTAAAGTCTTTGTAAAGTCTTTATCTTCAGGATGCAAGGATACCTCCCTCTTCCTTTGGAAAGTGCCAAATCACATGCAAAGCTCTAAGCCTTTCAGTTGCTTTTGGGTGCAGAACCGTTTCAGGTAAGGCCAAATATTTTTAAAATTAGTATAGGAAATTAGAGGGCTCAGTAAGTCTATGTATGCGTAAGAAAACTTTCGGTGCCTTTGCGTCTTCATCTGTGAATCAGGGAATAATAATAATACCTCCTCATCCAGTTATTGTAAGGATTACATGAATACAGTATAAATAAATAAAGCGCTGCAAACGCTGCATAGCATAAAGTGATTGGTATTATTGTTATCTGCTTTTCTTAGCTTGGCTGTTAATGAAGGTGTTCCCTGGTCTGAGGTGTTCATTGTTTTAGTAGAGTAGGTTGGGACTGCAGAAATAGCATGATTGTGAGAAAAAGAATTAGATGGTGGTGGTTGCAGACTCTGCCATTCCCTTCATGACTGTTGGTTATAGCCGACCCAGGGTAAATTATAAAGTCAAGAGCAGAGCTGTTTTCACAGTGGACGCTACTTTGTAATGTGTTCAAACTTGAATGTGAGAGTGATCATTTTAATTAGTTTTCTCTAGGTAAAGATCTTAAAGTATCCGCTGTTCGGTAGCTTCAAAACGCTTTTATTTCAATGCATTAAGCTGCGTAGAAAATCCATTAAACAAAAGAATGAGACCTCACGGTGTAGAATGAATGCCTGTCTTTCCACCACCCAGGGAAATCTGCACTCCTAAGAAAAGAGGGAGTGAGAATCCTGGCGAAAGGACTGTGGCTCTGCAAAATGTGCAGGGTTACAGAGATTCAATATGGGCGTAAACGCCTTGTGTGTTGACCACTGACCTCCCACTGTTGTCTTTTCAGACATGCTGAGGAGGACCCTGCTGTGCGCGGTGCTCGGGCTCCTGCGCGCCCAGCCCCTCCCCTGCCCGCAAGGCTGCAGGTGTTTCTTCCGGGACTCGGTGCAATGCTCTGGGGGCGACGTGGCGCGCATTTCGGCGCTGGGCCTGCCCACCAACCTCACGCACGTCCTGCTCTTCCAAATGGGCCGCGGCGTCTTGCAGAACCACAGCTTCAGTGGCATGACCGTCCTGCAGCGCCTGATACTCTCGGACAGCCACATTTCCGCCATTGCCCCCGGCACCTTCGATGACCTGATAAAACTAAAAACCCTCAGGTTGTCGCGCAACAAAATCACTCATCTTCCAGGTGCGCTACTCGATAAGATGGTGCTCCTGGAACAGTTGTTTTTGGACCACAACGCACTAAAGGGCATTGACCAAAACATGTTTCAGAAACTGGTTAACTTGCAGGAGCTCTTTTTGAACCAGAATCAACTCAATTTCCTTTCTTCTCGTCTCTTCACAAACCTGGGGAACCTGAAAATGTTGGATTTATCAGGAAACAACTTGACCCACCTGCCCAAGGGATTGCTTGGGACACAGGCTAAGCTTGAGAAACTTCTGCTGCACTCGAACCAGCTAGTGTTTCTGGATTCGGGGCAGTTGAGCAGTCTGGGCGCCCTGATGGAGCTGCAGCTCCACAGAAATCACATCCGCTCCATCGCACCCGGAGCAGTCGACCAGCTCCCAGGCCTGCGTTCTTTGACTCTTTCCAGAAACCACCTCGAGGTTCTCCCCTCCGGGCTCTTTCTTCATTCGCACAATTTGACGGTGTTGACTCTGTTCGAGAACCCGCTGGAAGAGCTCCCGGGGGGTGCTCTTCGGGGAGATGGCCGGCCTGCACGAGCTGTGGCTGAACAGCACCCGGCTGCGCACCCTGCCCGCCGCCGCCTTCCGCAACCTGAGCGGCCTGCGCACGCTGGGGGTGACTCTGAGCCCGCGGCTGAGCGTGCTGCCCCCGGGCGCCTTCCAGGGCCTGGCGGAGCTCCGGGTGCTCGCCCTGCACTCCAACGGCCTGACCGCCCTCCCCGACGGCTTGCTGCGCGGCCTCGGCAGGCTGCGCCAGGTGTCGCTGCGCCATAACAGGCTGCGGGACCTGCCGCGCGCGCTCTTCTCCGACCTCGGTAGCCTGGAGAAGGTCCAGCTCGACCACAACCAGCTGGAGACCCTGCCTGGCGACGTGTTTGGGGGTCTGCCTCGGCTGACCGAGGTCCTGCTGGGGCACAATCCCTGGCGCTGCGACTGTGGCCTGCGGCCATTCCTGGGGTGGCTGCGGCAGCACCTAGACCTCGTGGGCCGAGCCGAGCCCCCGCGGTGCGGCGGCCCTGGACAGCGCGCCGGCCTGCAGCTCTGGGCCCTGCCGGGGGGCGACCCCGAGTGCTCGGGCACCCGGGGCCCGTCTCTGCACAATGCCGCGCGCGACTCCTCGGCAGCCCCTGGCCACACTGCCCCGGTGCCTATCAGCCCAGAGCCCTGGGCATGGGCGCAGCTGGTGGCCACGGACAAACGTCTAGACCATAGCCTGTTCTGGGGTCTTTATTTTCTGCTCTTGGCCGCTCAGGCCATAATAACCGGGATCATTGTGTTTGTCATGTTTAAAATCGGCCGGCTCTTTCGAAAATTAATCAGAGAGAGAGCTCTTAATTGAGTCAATAGGAAAACCTTGTAATTAATTAAAACGTGACCAGAGTATTGTCAGATGTGGCCCCGAGGAAACCAGATGGGCTGCTGCTGTTTTCCTCTTCCTCGTCTCTCCTCCCCCTTCTTCCTCCTCTTCTTTCCTACTGCCACCTCTCCTTTCTCCCTCCTCCCCCTCCCTCCCTCCGCTCAGAGTGACCTCTGCATTTGTAGATTGTGATTGCTGGCCTGCCTCTGCGCCCGCGCTCTGTCGTGCGCTCCTGGAGAACGTCAGATTGTGCGTGGCCCATTCTCAGCCCACTGTGCCTGGCTCGCGTCTGGTGGAGGGAGGGCTTTTCAGTGTTTACTGAGTAGGGTACAACTCCAGGCTGGGGCTGACGCCCCACACAGAATGAGTGTCCGGTAACAGCTTGTGAAATGAATGGATAAAACGAACACACGTGTCCAAGGGAGGATGGCTGTTCTGGCGAGGGTGGGGGGCAGGAAGGGTTGATTGTTCTCTGTATCTACTTTTATTTGAAAAGTAGAACTCTTCCCATTCTTTTCCTTGCCCTGCTTTCTTCCCTTCATGTATCCCTGACCTGTGGGGTATTTGGGAGCTCCTGGCTCCATTCATCAAGGAGTATTTCCAGGGTGGCCCCTGCTGTCATAGTCTGAGACACAAAGAACGCTGAGCCTTCCCTCCAAGCTCAGTTGAGCCCACGTGTTCTGGGAGCCTCCCGTGAGTTTCCACTTGCTTTACATCAGTGAAACATATCATTTGGAAACTGAGTTGTTTTTCATTTCCTGGAACTAAATGCCACCTCATTTTGCAAGCATTTACAGAGCACCTAACATGTGACAGGTGTTCATGAATGTAATGATAAGCTTGGTTCTAGTTTAGCTCATAACACTCTACATTTATTCTTCCAATTGAAAGCACTCAAACCTTTGTTGCTGTAACTGGATGTCTGTGCTTGTGAGAGGCAGTGGCTAAAATATGGGCTGGAGGCCAGGCGCGGTGGCACACGCCTGTAATCTTAGCTCTCTGGGAGGCTGATGCCGGCGGATTGTTTGAGCTCAGGAGTTCGAAACCAGCCTGAGCAAGAGCGAGACTCCGTCTCTACTAAAAATAGAAAGAAATTAATTGGACAACTAAAAATATATAGAAAAAACTAGCCGGGCATGGTGGCGCATGCCTGTAGTC